GAGGGCCAGGTGCATTAATTTTTAAAGGTGTCAGGTGGGACCTTCAAGATCAAGTTGTTTTCCTATTGCCTTGTTATGTAAATGAGTTAATTAACATATTGAAATGTGGTTGTGCTTTTGGACTAATCCCACAAGGTGTTTATACCTCTTGATCTGTAGGCAAGAATCACATTTTATTTTTCAAAGAAAGAGATTTTAAAATACAACTAAAGTTGGTTATGAAATCATGAATGTATTCGGTCTTCTGTTGAAAGTATACACTAATGGTTAAATGTTATAGCATCTCTATTTTTAAACACTTTGTACATGGCTTCAATCCAGAGATCATTTTTTCCCCCTATGGTACTCTTTACTTATTTATTTTTGGAAAGTTTGGCCAAATCTGTTCCATCTTTGACCTTTTGATTCTTTTTCTTTTCTTTTTAGGGAAATAACTATGTATTCCTTTTCCAGTATTAAACATATACATGTACTCACATGCGTGATAAACAATTTCCAGACGTGCCTTTCTGACAAATAAATCAGTGCAAGTAGATCTTTGAAATGTCAAACTTCTCACTCAGCATGAGATCTGTCATTGTCCATGTGTTTCTTGACAGTACAGCAGGTCTTACTGATTGGCACGGTTCCCACGTGTCTGCATCGTGAAATGTACAAGACACCTCTTTAGACCTATCCTGTCCCTGCAATTATTGCAGCTTTTTTTTTTTTTTCTCTTTTGCTTCTTGGAAGATTTACTCCCAGGATTTTGGCCTCCCAGGTAGGTCAATGATCCTAGTATGAGTTTGCTTTTCCTCCACTCGTTGTATATCAAGGTACCACCAAATCCTTTTGCAAGAACTTTTAGGAAAAAGTAGGTGGTTGCTTTATGCTGCCTCTCAATCACTACTCATGGGCAAGTTCAAAGGGTCAATCCAGAACAGATTGTTACTTCTAAAAACTGATTTCTCATTACTACCATCACTTATAGCACAAGGAACTAGTTTTAATGCCTGGCAGTACTGGGGTTCAAATCACTTGTTCTATAAATGTGTATCTCTCCAAACTTTACTGTTTTCATCTATAAAGTGGGCAGTGATATTCTTAAGACTATAGAATTAAATCACAGAACAAGTGTGTTTTAGAAGAAAGGATCAAGTATAAGTAATCAATTATGTGGCAGTAAGTAGTTTTTTCTACTACTCTATTTTGAATAAGAGGATAAGGAATACGCTGCCAATTTCACAAAGCATCAGTGCACAAACAGGGAATAATCTGGTGATATGCTCAAAATACCATGTAATATATAAATAGTCTTGCCCAGTCAGTCTGTCCATGGGCCACAGACACATTTAGCATTTCTATTTGGTAGTTCCATTTCAACCTAATGCTTGCCTGCAATATAATGCATTTCCAAACTTTGGTATGCCAATGTCAAGAAGTGATATGGTGAAAGTTAACCCCTAGGCTCCGTGAATTTGACAGTTCTGTACATGTATATGTTGCATGTGAATTACTCATTGACATTTACCATGTGGAACATCATGTTAATTAGAATAGTAACTTGGCTAGAGCAACAGGCACCACATCCAACACACATGGATTCTGAAATGAAGGGGCAAACTCTTCTACCATCAATTCTTAAGTCCTTATCTGAAATAGGAGTAACCAGGAAGGAAATTATCCAGATGCGATGACCACCCAGGTAGTCTTCTGGTCGTTTATTTACTTAGAGAAATTTTACAGCGGCAGAGATAAAGAAATAAAATTTCAATCTACCAAGTAGGGTCTCATGGAAGAGATGAGAAAGTCCAGCTTCTCAGTTGGCTCAGAGATTCCCGGAAGGCAGATGCCCCAATTTCCACGGCCAGACTGACCACTGGCCTGAACTGCAGCTCATGCTTCCAGAATCTCGGAGGCTCACTGGCTGTAACAGATTCAACAAGTCCGCACCTAACTCACCACCTCCCAGCCTGCTCTGTTTGCAGCATGTCTGCTACTTGTTATTCTTCTTTTCTAAAGTGACTACCTTCAGATTCACCTTGCACTCTTCACTTTTTCTGTCACCAATCAACTGACATGTTCCTTGTCGTTAACATTTGTGTGACTTCCCTCCCTTTTCGTCTGAATCAGTCCAGATCCCCCTCACCCAATACATTTGGACAATAGTTGTTTTGCTTTTTTTTTCTTCCAATAAGTGCCCCTTCCCCCCACACATCCCAGCCACTGAACTTTTTGCATCCCTGAGGGCATGTCACGCCTTCCTTGTCCAGAATTGGCTCCTTTAACCTCAAAAAATGTTCTCATTAAGAACCCCTGTCTCAGAAGATCCATCAATGCCCATTCCCTTCCCTAGCCCACTCTTTTATTATTCAAGTCTCTTGAGAGACCATTTAATCTCAGCCTTTGTGTCTTTAGTAATTTCCCTCCACTTCTTTGTCCAAAATGCCCAAGTCTAAGCTCTTACTCAAATTCCTGCCAATCTCATTACGATATTTTGGAAACTACTTATCTCTTCTGTCTCTACCATTTATTTCTATTTAACTCCAGCGCCACCCAGTTTCATGCTTAAGTTCTCTACTTCAGTCATTCCCGTGTTTCCCTGATCAACTGAGGATTATGTAAGAGCTTTTGGTTCCCTACGTTCCCTTTCTACCCACTCAGTCTCTATTCCCTCCTTGGAACAGAAGGCATAGAAAAGATAGAACTGAAATTTGAATTCCTGTAGATTTCAATCTTCACATCTACTTATGCTGAAAGCAAACGGTAAGTACCAACATTCCTCATTTTGCCAATCTTCATCACAATTACACAAGGTCGGTGATTTAGTACCAAGTCACTGATCGTTCCCAAAGTGCCTTTGAAAAACAGTTAAATAAAATTTCGAGGCGCTCTTTGCAGGTGAGGTGGAGCTGGGGGAGGAAGGGATTTTGGATTTAAACTTTAACACTCCATCACTTAAAAACGCATCAGCCCTGAGGGGGTTTTCAGGTTGCAGAGGTGATGCAAAATGACGACTTTATCTCGCCTGGTGGTGGGGTACTCTTTCACTTTCTTCCATTTGGGAGAAACTGGAGCACGCTGTCGCCCTCTGTGGGGGCGGGGGTAAGGTTGGGCATTTCTTCTAAAAGCAATGACTGAATTGGCATGGCGAAACTCAGATCGTCCTTGAGATTCGACTGCAACAGAAAGCCCTTCAGCTACTTAGGCGCCTGGCGCCGACCGCCAGCGGGGGCGAGTCGCGAAAGGAGGGCAGCCTCCCGCTCGCAGCCCCCGACCTGCCGCTAGGAGGCGCCGCGAGCACGCCAGGTCCCCGCCCGCTGCCAGAGGAGGACTCGGATCCCCTCGACCAGCCCCAAAGCTGGCCGGGGGTGCAAGCCGGGAGAAGACCGCAGGAGACGCGCGGCGGAGCGCCCAGGGCTGTCACCGAGGACTCGCCGAGCGCTCCGGCCCGGGACGCAGCACCTGGGGATCGCCAGCGGCCACCCGCAATTTCCCCAGTCGGGGTCCTCAGCTCCCGCTGCCCAGTGAACACCCGCCAGGGAGGACGGCGATGTCTGCCGCAGTCCACCGCGGTCCTCCCGGCGGCCCCGGTAGGCGGCTTGCGGGGACCCTCTGGTGCTTCGCCGCTCTGGGGATGCTGCGGCCCCCCGCTTCCCAGGCATTCAACCTGGACGTGGAGAAGCTCACAGTGTACAGCGGCCCGGAGGGCAGCTACTTCGGCTATGCCGTGGACTTCCACATACCTGCAGCTCGCACGTAAGTCGCCCAAATCGCGTGCGCGGGCGAACCCGGCCACCGTGGGTCCCTGCCCCTCTGCAGGGAGACTCGCGCTTGTCCAGGCACCCTGAGATTCCGCCCTGCCTTCCACTTGGGCTTCTTCCCGCTCCAGATCCCCGCCACCAACCTCTTCTTGCCCTTCCCATGGTAGATGTACCTTATGAACTTTGAACTAGAGAACTTGCGTAGAAAGTTCAAGTCCTGGGGAGATCCCAGCACAAAGACTCCAGCATCATACAAAAGGGGAACGGGACCTGGACAGACTGAAGCCAGTTAAAACCACCAGCACAACACTCTCTGTTTAGACATAGCCTGTAACAATTAAGTGTCTGGCGCAAGTGCTGTCTGCTACAAGCAGCTGGGCTCTGTCCTTTACTGTTTCATCCCCCTCTTTCCCATGGCACCGTATACATAGCTCCACCTAGAGAAAATTCGGGACATTTTGCTTCCAGGTTTTAGACACCCGTAGATCTCCAGAGAGGAAATCAAGTTTGACAGTCGGTCTCCATCATACATACGTTTTTTGCCCGGGATCCCCACTCGAGTTTCAGGAGGTTGCTACAGGGGCTGCATACACTTTTACAGAGGCTGCATGCGAACACTTTCATAATTCCCAGGGAGTGATTTTGTCTAACCCTTTCGCAGAGCCAGTGTCTTGGTGGGGGCACCCAAGGCAAATACCAGCCAGCCAGACATCGTGGAAGGGGGCGCCGTCTATTACTGTCCTTGGCCCGCCGAGGGGTCTGCGCAGTGCAAGCAGATACCGTTTGACACCACCAGTAAGTGATATTTGTCATTCTGAACTGTGGGCCCTGGTTTCAAAGAGCCGGAGACACCCGGAGTCAACATCACACTTTCTTTGTAGTCATCTGGCCTGTCTGATGGGTCTGTGTTGTGGGCTGTGCAGCTCCCCAGAGAAATCAGCCTGGTTTAAGTATGAGTGAAGGCAAGGAAAATGCAACGTAAACCCCAGAAGGGGACTATTTGACCTTGAATGTTTGGATGCATCCTGGTAACTTCTGTTTCCTTACTGTTCCAAGATGAGCATTTTCAGTGTGTGGATGTTTTGGAGAAATACAGATGTTCTTCCCTAGCCTTGATTCTGGAGAGAATTTGGTGACTTCCCAAAGCCAGATCTGGGAAAAGACAGATCCTTAGCCTTTCCAGTGCCCAGACTCAGGAGGCAAGACTGAGCTGCCAGAGACCCAGAAATGGCTCCATGTTGCTCTTTAATTCCTTACAGAAAAAGAATTTTCTTTCAAAATATTGGACATTGGATGCAAACTAGTACAGGCAGAGTGTGGATGGATTACATTCATTTCCAAAATCCCTAGACAGATGTTTCTTATTTAATTAAAGGGAAAATACATTTTAAACAATTCAGGCTGGTTATGTTTCCTCTGGTGTTTTCTCTTTGGGCCTCAGAAAATAATTTAAATGTAATGCTTTCAAAAACATTAACACTGGAAGTTTTAATTTGTATCCTCAAAATTTTTGAATTCAAAGGGTATACAATCTCAGAAAATAACTATCTCTTTTCAGAAAACTGTGAACATGTCTACTTAAATGATGTTCCTTGATGAACAGTCTTTCAAAACACCGTTTGCACTATGCAACTATTTTATGACATCATTCTTCATTATGTTACAATAGTTTGCATTCATTGTTTATGTAGAAAATCCATTTTCACAGAAATCTGATGGAATTGGACAAGTGGTATTACCTGTTACTTAAATTAAGTTGGTTTTTTTTTATTATTTTAAAGGAGAAAAAAATGAGCTTTATGTGTATGGAAATCATTTCAAAGAAAAAAAGTCACATACAAGCATTTCCTTGAATCCTGACCAAATTAGGAAGCACTTTTAAAAAGCATTTTAAAATTATGTTTTCACATGTATCTATAAACAGTCACAATAACTTACCAGTATATTAAATAAGTCAATTATTTCATGCAAATTTTGTCAGCATTTACTTTTAAGTACTAAAAACTGGAAAAAATATGCCTCTTTATGTTAAGTTGTAAAATTAACCTTTCAATTAGTTGTTTAATCAGTACTTTTTAAAATCAAATTTTAGTGATTTGCCATTTGTTTGCATAACCATATAAACTGGGGACTACAACTTCACACCTCAACATGTGCACTGGCTTCTCTCAGCCTCCCCCAAAGCTCCAGTGCCACACCATGTGACCCCCAACTCCTACCTTCCTCAGTAACTACTAGACTCTGAGAGTCAGTTTTGTTTTGTTTTGCCAATTTGTTTTCTCTGGTTATTTGTATTCCACAAATGAGTGTAAGTAGCCAGTAATTATCCTTCACTTTCTGACTTACTTTATTTAATATGACCATCTAAAGAGACATCCATTTTGTCCCAAAAGGCACTTTTACTCTTTTTTGCTAGCTCAATAGTATTCCATTGAGTATATTGTTACAATTTCTTTATAGAGTCACCTATCAATGGCATCTAGGTTGATTCCGTGCCTTGGCTATTGAGAATATTGCTGCTAAGAACACAGAGTGCATAGATCTTTTTGTGTTAGTGTTTTCTTATTCTTCAGGAAAATTGCTGGCTACTATTTCCATTTTTAGTTTCTTAAGGAATCCTAAATCCTTTTCACCAACTTATATTCCCATCAACAGTGAATGAATGTTCCTTTTTCCTCACATCCTCACCAGCCAAAATTTGCTGTTTTTATATTTTGATATGGGCCATTCTCACAGGGTTGAAGTGGTATTTCATTGTGGTTTCTATTTACATTTTTTTAAAAAAGTTAATCAAGACTTTAGGTGCCTTCTCATTATTACTGCTGTAGTAGAGAAGAAACTCTAATAAATCAGAAGAATTATGAATTTAAGCATAAAGTTAATGACATTTTGGCAAAGTATTTTAAACTTAAACTTTAATATATATATAGTCAGACATCATTGGTATTATTTGAATTTAAGATAAGGGAAAACATTCATATGTTGAGACATATTTGATGCATTTTTTACTAAGAATCCATAGTCATATAAATGAATTTTATAATCTTCTAAACATTCTCATAGCATATCAAATCAGGATCTTGTTTGTGTGTTTTTCCTTTATGAAGAAAGCATCAAAACCTGCCCAGATAGATCTGACTACCTCTGAAGACTAAGTAGTAATTGTGATTCAATAGAACCAGAAAATCCAAACATTAATATGAATTTTGAAAAACTGACCACACTTCAACCAAAAATTCCCAACATTTAATTCTAATAGGTAATGTTTTCCAAAAGTTCATTTGAGATCAACTGTTTGGATTCACATTTCCATGGAGAACTAATGCTTTAGCTTCTAGAATAACCCACAGGAATGCACTTAACCCTTATTTTAGCTATATTATATTGCAGTGAAACAGTAGGAGACAAACTAGTTCAATTTTGGCAATTAAATAAAAATGAACTAAATAAGAAAATAAGACTGTTGAGGAAAGATTAATATACCAAGAAAAAGGTAGAGGAGGGGGTTATTGGCATCTTAGGTTCTGAGGACAACAGCTGGCTGTACCAAGAGTCTTAGATTAATACCACTGGTTTACACACTGTGTTATTTACCTCTCAGTAATGGGACTTTTTCTTGATAGATAGAGACACTTAACTGGGCATTCTACTTAGCAGCCATAATCACAGTAATTTGAAGGTTCATAAAAGGAAAAGAGTGAAGGAAAGGAGAACTGAGGGAGATGCATGATCCTAAGACAAGTGAAGAAAAAAGTGGAAAAAAAGCAAGGTAGAGGGAGCCACACAGAGCTTGTTAGCAATGATCAACAATGGAATGAACAACGAAAGCTGTGACTTGTGAAAGCCTGGAAAGTTTCGCTGAGACAGAAGAACAACGATTGAGAAAAGCAAGTTCCCGAGTTTACCATCAGGGGGTACTGTGGGCCCAGGAACCTTGGTCTCTTCTGGGACTGGTCCTGGAAACGGGGAGCAAGGTCAGAGAAGGAGGAAGCGAGAGGCTGGAGGCTCAGGTGTTTGCCTGGGTAGAGGCCAGCGCTCTGCAAGTAATTCCCACTTATGACTTCATCCGGGACGACGGGGCTGCCGGTGGCAACTTGATGCAAAGCTGAGAAAGAAGCAGGACACGGGAGCAGGTGCGGCTCCCTGAGCTGTCGCCAGTGTGGCCAGATGCCTTATATTTACTGATCACCTACCATGTGCCAGTTACTTCTAAACCTTATTTCTAATCTGTAAAACAGAACAGTCACATAAAACTGATTTTATGGGTAGGGAAACTGACATCAAAGGTGTTAAGAACAATACATCCAAGACCACACAATGGTAAGCAGTAAGAGGTAGGAGTGGGAAGGAAGGAGTTCTGCCTCTTACTGGTCTTCACCTGCCTTTCTTCCAGGGACCTGGAGCAAATATACGGGAACAAATTCAGGGCCACAGCTTATGAAACCCCCTTCCCCTCTAGCCCCCCAATCGCCATTCTCCATGTTAGCTCTCAAATCCCAGCCAAAAGGAACCTCCAGAGAACATCTAAAAGGGAAAAGCAGTTTTGAGAGAAAGGGGTCCTAAAAGCAGCCTTTCACAGTGAGGGAATGATTGGGACGTGCCCTCAGAGACCCCTCCTCCAAGAGGAGCCCCCTCAGTGTCCCCAGCCAGTGTCTCCTGTCTTATGCTCAATAGGGCTCCCCCATAAAGGGTAAGAAAAATTTCTTACTTAACAAAGATAGTGATTCTGTGTGCTGGATGCCCACAGCTGATGTTCACAGATTAGCCTGTGATGGGGAAGGTGTAAATCTGTGTTATATTGTAAATATGCCTCTGCAAAGATAACCATGACTTGGCCTGTCTTTCTCCCTGTCTGCTTTTACTATTACATCTAAATTTAAGACATTCTAAGTAAATCTGACGTTTTAATGACGTTGTTTCAACTTGTTCAGGCCCCTGGGGTGAACAATTTACTGTTCTCTCCAATAACCTACTAAAATAAACTCACTTAGCCTCCATGTGGAAGGAGACCAGCCTGTAATTTAGTCCCTAAATGTGGTTGTGATCTTGAACCTCAGTTTATTTGAGGTCAACTGGCTTTTTTTTTTAAAGGCTGCCTTTTAGTGTGATTTTTTTCATTAAATAATCACTTATTTCATCTTCTCCTTATCATACAACTTGGACATTTTATTACTTCTTATCGTAAATGCAAAAACAGGGGGTGCTCGGGCTGGCACGGTGCATCAAATGCATGAATACTGTTATAATTGGTGGCCTTTCAAGTGTGGAGGAAGGAAATTTCAGGGAAGCATGTGGCACTGGGGGAGGGGCAAAGTGCAAAGAGTAGATAATTTCCCTGCTCTGCACAAAATCAAAACAGTTCCAAAGCACTTCTCTCCCTTACTTCACTAGAATAAAATGCTCATCACAAAACTGATTTCCTTTACTTCAGTCTCAGCAGCTCCTAACCTAGACCCCATGTTTGAAGCAACTTAAAACAACCTATCTGGCAATTTCATACCTCTCATTTCTAAATCAACTCTAACTGCAAGGCTCTTTTTTTTTTTTTTTTTTTTTGCCCCCTACATTTCCTAAACCAGTGTGGAATTAATAAGAATTGCTAGGTGACTGCCCTTTGGCTGAAAGCAGGGTGAATGGAACAGAATGAAAGAGACACCTCATTGGAATGATAAAGGGGTGAACTGGAACAGTACTAACAAAAGCAGCTATTTGAGTCTACACAAATATCTGATTGTTTCAAATATTCAACTGAATCATTTGAGGAGGAAGATAATGTCATGGGCTAATTAACGATG